GCTATCACATATCCCCCATCTTCAACCTAACTTCTGGAAACTGGAAAAGCAGTTTAAGGATATTGGAAGAGGATCGTAACAGGATATCCTCATGAGCTGTTTGACCTTGTTGGGCGGTGAGCCACTAACACCGTGTTCTCTGGACCCCGTTCATGCCCTCCAACTGCTATCGGTACCATGGATGGATAAACTTCACGTTAGGTAGAACCACTAACGTCAGACCGATTCAATGAGAGGATTCCGATAAGAAGAACGACAGGAAGCAATGGAGGATTTTGCAGATGCTCCAATGGCAGCATGTTGGTTAATTAATTGGTGTACAAGCAGGCAATGTGACGGCTACGTAACCACAACCACAGCAAGTTCATAAAGTGGAGACATTTGCAACGGCTTTGCTTCAGCTAATTAAAACCCTACTCGATCAACGGGAAAATGGAATACAAGCATGAACCAGTTGGGATGCTGGGATGGATCTTCAACCGGAAGATGTCAGAGCGAGAAAATAGCGTTGGGCTACGGTACATGTATACGTATATGTGTATATTTATGCATACTATGAAACATGGAAGATATCAAGTAAGAGTTTACCAGTAATCAGATAGGGAAAAACGGAGCAGTGAGTTACGACCTTTGTGAAATCAGTGGGTTAGTTGGATGCAACACAGGCCAGAAATCACTTGTGTTGCATTAGAGGAGACGATGACAGCTGTGCACACAATATTACAGACAAAAAGGCACGTTCTTAGAAGAAGTCAGCGGAATGAATGAGACCGGATGATGTCTATGAGACAGGCAGCCGCTTGGCACTGGAATGGAGGGACGGCCATTAGAGAGACATCAAGATCTGAGCTGATAGTGCCACTGAAGCACTCCGAAGGTGCTTTACGAAGAATCCCCACATGACATTATTATTTATCTAACCTTAAAGTTTTAATGAGATTTCTGAGAAGAAAACCTGTTGAAAACATTGTAAGATTCCATTCTTTATTTACCATCAACTTACCTATCTAAACTAGTAGAGTAACTCCAGAGCGAGTAATACAAAGACGAGGCGATGAGGCCAAACATACAACCTGTCAGTTCCAACGTCCTGCTATTTCTAGTTGTTTTCAAGAGGTAAGCATTCCCTCAGTAGATTCAGGCACTTCTTTGAAATTAGCATCACATTTTGACTTCAGGGTATCACTTAAATGTAAATGTTTGCGAGTATACCCTTGTTTACGTAACCTGTGACTAGTGCATAAAGGCAACACGGTAACAGTCTGCAATTGCAAGGGCAACGTTTGTAAAGGGGTTCGGATAATATTTTTGCTCGAGTGCACAGCGCAGAGCCCGTCCTATCGGCTATAATTGGGATTGGTTGCACTTGGACTTCCGATTTCCTCGTTTTGATTCCTAAGGATATTTGAAGTCATTTCCTCTACAGAACTATAATATAAAATCAAAAGATTAACAAGTAAATTCAATTTAGGTTCTTTGTTCAGTTCACTTGCATTGAAGACCAGTTTGAACATTATGCGCAAGTGAACGAATTAGTGATTTCAAGCGTTTCCTGACGTCCTTCTGGTTCTACCGATTGAGCAGGTGAAACTTTCACCCTAAGACGGTCGGATTTGCTAATGAGATCGGTTTAATTTAGGGGTACACGTGACTCTATTTGTCTACTGTCCTCCACAAAATGCTGCTCAAAATCCGAATCAAATGAATCAGTAATTTAGGGATAGAGTAGCGTTCATGGCGCATCCCACAGTTGTCGGCCGGCTGCACAGATCTCGTGCGTATCTTCTGCCGAAAACACGGGTGGCGGTTTGATAAAATCCCATCGAAGCAAAAAAACGTTTCTCGAAAATAATATCATGCTCACTCTTTGTAATGACTCAGTTATGTATTACTGTAACAGGATATTGGTAATGAATCCTCCAAAAGTTCGATAGTCTCGAGATTAATGGAACTCAAAAGGTAAGGAAAAAAAATCAAAAACTGTCTTACTATTCCTAAACCCAATTTGACTAATGAGAATGAAGGAATAAAGCTCGGCATTCTCTAACCATCTGGAATTTCGGAGCGTTGATGTTAAATAACAAGCAGAGAAATGTCATCGGAAATCGGAATACATCCACTATATTATGGCTTGCGAATATAGCAGAGCCGATAGCACCTAAACCGTTTTTCTTTCCAAGGTACCTTCAATTTGACAGTCAACATGGAATTCCCATTTCGTGACATAAGTCATAAATAAAACCACAAAAGACATAAATTTCTGCGTTATAACATGGTCATGACTAACACGAAAGAGGAAAAAGTAGTTTTGTGGGCTGTATAGCCAGCGACTTGTGCAAAACGAGGTTTTCTCCACGGGTTGTATAGCAAAATGATGAGATTGTCATTTGGGGCGTCGACATCAAGGAAAAACAACGAACGAGCACGGCGATGATCCTAATTTCAAGACGCATGAAAAATGAATAAGTGAGTCGCCGTTGTTCATCGAATAAGAAGCGGTCTTCGGTTGGACAACAGCGTGAAATTGATCCGAGTTCACGATTTGTTGACACTCAATGTGATGTGATAGATTTGGGTATGTATCACTTCGGAAGTCCCGAATCACCCAGATTTTCGCGGGCGAAATTGATAGGCGAAAATATCAGCCATGCTCAATTAGACAGTCACTGAAATGGCCATGACTTGGACAAATTCAGGTGACGGTGTTGGCGGCGTTGGCGCTGTTGGTCTGTTTGCCAGTTTAAATGATCAACGGTTAAGCTTGGGTGTCGGACCTGTGAGGCAAACACCACCAGCAGCAGCACAGAGCAAAGTTGCCGAGAAGATGAATTGTGCTATAGTATAAAGTCGTCAGTCATCGTACAGGTCTGTCTCGTGACTGCCAAGGATTCACCGTCTACCCTATTCCCCTCCCAGCCCACACATACACACCGACACACTGTGAATCTCGTAGCGGAAGGAAAAAAGGGCAAGTGAAAATGATTTTTTGGGAGGGCGGAGCCATTTCACAACTTCAGCGACGGCTGGGAATCACCATCGCCGACATCCATCCTCGCCATGTAGTCGCTCTAGCGCTAGCTGATTTTGACGCATTTTGATAGACGGACGAGAGCATCCCTCGAGACATCATCATGATGTGTCATAATGCTTCCCATACGGCTGCTGTGAAAAAATCGCAAAAGACGGATTGAGAGCAGTAATTTTGTTGACAATTTGGTTCGTCGTCCTTAAACCCAGCCCTGTCCAAAAGTGTTCGGCCAAAGGAAACATCATTTCAACAAGGGCTAACCAGTGTTGACACGCGTTGCACTTTCCATATGTGGGCGAGAACGAATCCCGGTGAATTCTAGATCGTGGCCTCCGCAAAATCGTGGAATTGATCAAAGACGCTCGCTCCACCCTTAGTAGTCGAATTGTCCACGTGAAACGTCTCACTCAGCAGTTTTTAGTTGTGGAATTGATATTGCCTTGTCTTCGCTACATTACATGCAAAAAATGAGGTTATGAGGCTAATGTGTTAT